TTTCTCTGTATCTATGAAGCGCCTTGAGGCGACTTTTGTTGTGATTTGGCGCTATATAAATAAAATTGAATTGAAATTATTGCAGCATAACTAAGGGACGGTCACCTGATCCAGGTTTGATCAAAAAGGAAAGTTTGAGGCCTGATATTAAAAGCAGAGCTAGTGTCAGGTTTGTGTGTGAGAAGAGAGCTGTTGTTTTTAACAGAGCGTAGCTACAACCTCGACAACATGATCCATCTTAAGACTAACACGTGTTTTGAACTGTGCCTTTCACGTCCTCCTCGCTGATATCTGGCAGCATTGGACCACCCCTCACATACATTTGTTTTTGGAGCCGTCTTGGCTTCAGCCTGTCTTGAGGTGCTGGCCCTGCCATTCTGACCTTCTCTCATCCGCTGTGACCTCCTGACCTGTGGCCCGCCTGTTCCTGACTGTAGCTTGCAGGAGTGACTGCCCTCCCAAAGTCGAGCAGCAGAGCGTCTGGCAGCAGAGCAGCTGGGGATTTGGGCAGATCTGGGCTGATGTCTCCCCTCCTTGGAAGTCTGATCTGAGCTGTGCAAGTGCAGCAGCAGGTGGCAGAGAGACAGCAGTGACTAAATATAGTGTTCAGGGGCAGAGACGGGTTCTTTTATCTGCTGATTGAATAATTTATCCAGCAGCTCCATCCAAGCTGGAATCCTTGGACCCGGGTCATCAGTCTCAACTGATTTGTATGAGGGGTAGACAATCGGGGCCAGACTCCAGCGTGCACTTCAGTATCGTCGTGTTGAGCTTGTTTGTTTGCATTCCTGCACAAAAAACAATCGCAGTGCATTTAAATGGAGAAATGGGAGCTGCTGTGTGACGGAGGCCGACTTGCAGCGAGGGCAGATCTGTGTGGTACTTTAGCTCATATTTATAGGTCACATGGATCTTTGTAATTACCCTTTTGCTAAGTCTGCAAATCAGCTCTCCTAAGCTCAGTGGCCGGCAGGCCTCTGAAGCAGGAATGCTAAATACATAGGACCAAAAAAGTGCATGTGTCATTATAGGGAAAGCCTCCGATTTGGCTGCATTTCCACTGCAGTCCACATTTGTGTTCTGTGCTCAGACAAAGGCATTTCATGTGCTAGCTCCATCTCCTGCATGTTGCTGCATGAACAGGCAACTTCCTTCACATGATACAAATATAATAACCCCTAAAAATCAACCGTTGCAACATCGGTATTTCTCCTTCTTTGTCTGGCACCATCACACAACCACTGTGTTAATTAACACAACTTCTGAATTTCTGCATGCTTGTGCTCCTGTGTGGATTATCACCCCCCGCGCCTGCAAACAATCCAATCAACACATCTCTTCTGTTCTTGTGTAACCCGCCCAAGAAGCACCCAGTGACTCTAAGAACGCGGTGGCATCATATCAATAGTTGTCCTAATAATGACTGTGCTGACGCCTCACAGCGAAATCAGAAATATTTGTCTAGGCCAAATGCACGAGGGGCCCATATGATGTAATTGTCCAAATGAGGGACAGTACAGAGGGTGGAGAGGGCTCTTCCTCTCTATGATGTCATGACACTGCAGCAGTTTGCTGGAGATAAGGACCGAGTGCAACCTCACATCCAGAAATGTGGTTTTACTCCTCTTATCGCTGCTCTACAGCTGATTGGTGGAAGGGTGAGAATAACTCAAATGAAGGCTAGATAAGCCCACTCCTCAGTTACAGTAAATATTCGCGATGTGCACGAGCCATTTCTGGGGAATAATGATATCACGTCAGCATTCTGATTGAGAGCTGCTCCCATGTATGAGCCTGTTTTCATGACTAAAATGCTCCCCGTCCCTGAGTAAACACCGACTGTATCCGCTCCACAACAGCCACTGGCTCCTGCATTGATTGGCCAATGCAATTTATTAGCCATTGTGACAGTTTCCTGTACAGCCAGGGTCGACGGGGGAAACTGAGAGGTATGCAGATAAAGTGCTTTCAAACATGCCACACAATACCCATTGTGTTTTGATTACAGGTTGAACTCTTACCGCTAGAATGTTTTCCACATACCTTTCAGTGTGCGTCTGCTTGTTATTCAGCTCGCACTGTCGTGCCGCCCGCTCTATTCCCTCAGCAGACAGAGCTAAAGTCGGAAATGTTGAAAAAGAAAAGGACGGTGTCTCAGTGACACCCTGAACAATGAATCCATGTCCCTGAACTCCACCTTTCATTTCAATTTGTAAGTGGCGAGCTTGGTGAAAAGTTTCATAAATCAGCCATAAAATCTGTAAAACGACTGCATTTAGCCACGTGTTCTCGTGTCCAGCAGTTACTGGGATAAACCAACATGATGACAATGCAGCCCAACTACAGCGTGACCTTGTACTTGAAAGTGACGAGGCCAGTGACCTTTAACCTCCCTCCATGGTTTACTCCAGTTCAAAATAACGGAGACATGCAGCTGTTAGGATCTGGCAGAGCAGACACCTCTGCAGCAGCTGTCTGAAACCGACTGACGCGACGCTGTGACGCTGGCGTAGGTGATGATGCCCTGTTTGTGCTGGGCTACACTGAACATGGCACCCATCATGCTCCGTGAACTCGACAGAGATCAGAGAGTTAGCGAGTTTAGGATTTGGCCAGTTGGAAAGCGGTGGTTAGCGCTGTGGTCTCACAGCAAGAAGGTCCCGGGTTTGAATCCACCTTTCTGTGTGGAGTTTGCTTGTACTTCTGGATCCTCTGGCTTCCTCACACAGTCCAAAGACTTGCTGCTACTGGGCTGATTCTAAATATGTGGGTGTAAGGAATGGACCTGCAACAGGCTGGTTACCTGTCCAGGGTGTACCCCGCCCCTCGCCCTATGGCAGCTGGGATAGTCCCCCCCCCCACACACACAGTACTGGGGGAGGAATCCATGTCTGTAACAGAGCTCCTCTAACATGGAGAGAGGTGATTAAAGGTCTAAGGTCCAGCACTGGTGGACAGTACTGTGGTTGTGCTGCATTCTTCTCACCTTCACTGTATGATGTGTAACCATCCATGAAAGGAAAATGCTACAGTGTCAGTGCCCAAACCTGTGAAGCTGCATTCCTTCAGTGTGACTTTGTGTTATGTTTTCTGCTCATCCACGTCTCAGTCTCAGAGGGCCTGGAGCCTATCCCAACTGTGACGAGGAAGAGGCACAGACGGACAACCATTCTCATTTTATCAGCTACATTCAGCAACTTAGACTCGCCAACTAACCAAACATGCATGTCCTGTGTGACTGTGGAGGAGGCTGTGGTAGCCGGGGAGAATGCATGCACACATAGTGCTAACTCCACACAGGAAGGCTGCAGCACGGCGGCTTCAACTCAACTCAGCCCAACTCAATTTATATAGCATGAAATCACAACTGTCAGCTGAAGGCTCCCTATGAACAAGCATTTGGTGACAGTGGGAAGGAAAACAGGAAGAAACCTCCAGCAGAACCAGGATCAGGGAGGGGCGGGGCCATCTGCTGCGACTGGTCGGGGATGAAAAATATGTTTTTATATTTATTTATATATATCGATAACCTGTATGTATGTATGTCCATTAGGTGTGTGGGTTTGTATTACACTCCTGAACTGTGTATTTGCACATATACACGACCAGCTGCATCATCAGAACCATTAAAACTATTGTTGTGTAGCGCCCCCTTGTGGGACCAAACAGCAGGTGCTTGTTGAGATGGAGAGGGGACATTGAAGGTGTCCTGTGGTCCCGAGCAACAGACGTGTTGGGGTCCTGTGCATTGTTGGGTTTGACATGCTGTGGAATCTGACCAGTTTGCTTACCTGGTCGGTGCCCAGGGCTCTTTGTTTGCTCTTAATTCACATTGTCAGTATGATTATATCAGCCTTAAAGGAAACTTTGCCAGGCTGGGTGACACAGACTTACAAATGGTTTCCCAACAACAGGCTTATTTACCCACAGTTGCATCAGTACAGCAAAACTGCTCACTGTGTGCGCTCAGACATGAACACTTCCACGCCAGGTCCACGAGGTCTCAGTGAACATCTGCTAAATCCATACTGCCCCACTGATGGAGGAGACTCCCTCCTGGGAGCGTTTTTAAAAATAATGCAGAGGTGCCATCTAGTGGACAAACAGTGGAAAGCTTTTTGTTAAACAACCAAAGCTGTCCCAGTATTTTTGCATTCAGCCTGGATGTTGTTCCTCCATCTTTAAATCCATCATGTGCTTATTTTATGGTCTCATCTCTGGAGGAGCAGCTGCTCGTTGGTTAGGACAGTCAAGGTTAATGTGACGATACTCGCTGTGAATACTTGGGCACGTTTTTGGAGCTCTTCCACAGATGAGCGTCAGCAAAAGGAGTCATGTCATCATCAGTCATCAAGAACATAAAACTAGATGGATAACGGCCTAACAGAACAACACCAAGTTCAGCCTCCTGCTTCATGTCAGACAGAAGCATTTTCTCTGAAAGGCATCCAAACATTTTTGTTTTGCTTTTTTCTTTGTTTTTTAAAGCAGAAAATACTTTATGACAGAGTTTTGTTTTCTGCTTCTTTCCTTCATTGAACCACTCGTCCACTTATTCCTCCTCTGGACCATACTATCAAACTGTATATAAATGATGGCCTGTCATCATCTTGGTTTGAGCGTTGTGCCTGTCACCGTGTTGTTGGTGCTTTTCTTCTTTAAACCAGATGAGGGTCGACTCTGACCGAGAAACAACACAAGACACTCGTGGTACTTAATAACACAGACAACACTTTTATATCATTTTCACTTTGTCAGATCAAGTCGCCCCCTGCTGGTCAGTAGACAGAATTGAGCAGCTAAGCTTCACCGTACAAACCACACATGCTCCTCTTTTGCATTAAAAATAAGTGAGTCACTTCAGTGATGATCCTTGGAAGTATTGTCAAAGACACGTCTTCTTTGAAATACTGAGATTTTAGTGTCAGCTTATTATTTTAGTTCGACCGGCAGACTGAAGCACGCGCGAGTAACTCAGCAACACTCGAGAGCAGGTTTTGCTTGAAAATTTAATAGAAATATAACCAACAACATTTAGAGTGAAAAATACAACTGCATTCACGTTTCAAGTCTACTGCAGAGAGCTGTGAGGTAACAATGTGACCATTTTAAAAGACAAACTTCTCCTGTGAGATTACACTGAGGTGAAAACGGAAACGCACTCTCGTTTAAAAATGGTGTTAAACACTGCACAGACTGAAAGCCGTTCGTCTGTGTAACAGGGCCTCATAACTTAACATTCATTGCATGACTCGTTTTGCAAGACGTTACACATTTCCCCTGTTGCTCAGCTCCACCGAGGGCTCAGGTGCAGGATGCTGCGGTGGTTGGGGTTCCTCTGGTAACGAAACACACACACACACACACACACACGTTTGAAAAATGCTAAATTAAGCACGCTGCACTTGCACGCACTGATTGGTGAAGGATCTGAGACGCAGAACCACAGCAGAGCTACTCAGACACTGAGCTGACAGTGGGCTGTTTGAGCCTTTAGCAGCGCCGCAGAAAGGAAAGAATGAGACAAACGAGGATCACGATGTGTCCTTCATCAGCTGTGGCCCAGTTCTTCCTCTGAGTTGCCAGAGCACCAGAGTGTTATTGGAGCATGTGTGCAGATGAGGGGGATGTGTTCGTAACTGTGCGAGGACAGGAGCTGTCTGAAGTTAGTGCTTGAACAGAGGACCACTGTTCAGACACACGGGCACAAGCATGCATGTTACAAAAGAAATGACAACTTTTTGTGCGTCCTTGCACAAATTAACACTCGGAAGCCGCTTCAACATTTAGTTTTTGGTGTTTGTGTCTTTTGTGTTTTATTACCTCCAAGCAGCTGCTGCACTGCTTTCCTGTCTTCAGCAATGTAGACGGCAGTAACGACGAAAAACACTCCCCCGACAATCCCGACCACGGGGCAGAGCAGCAGGCTGTACTTCAAACTGTCAAAGTTCCTGTCGGGGCTACCTGGATATATCGCATCAGAGATCTACACCAGTGCAGGTATGAAATCGGTGTTAGTGGTCAGTGACAGAATCAGAGATGATCTCCTAAAGCTTACTTTCTTACCACTCCTAATAAGTAAGGGCTCCCAGCATCACCCAGCAGATGTCCGACTGTAATCTGCAGAGCCTCCGCTGTCGCCCTCCTTGTTGGTACGACAACATACTGAAGCGAGAAGCACGAACAAAAGGGGCGTGTCACATTTGAGCCGACACTTTGAGGTTTTTACTGTCAGAGTTAATGCTCACCAGCAGTATGTCAGCCAAGACCGCCCAGTTCAACGAGAGCAGCAGCTCGCCCAAGAAAATGAACACCTGAAACGTTCAAGACAAACAGTCACTGCTGCTCTCATGTTTCAGTCATAACAGGTGCTCACGATGTTTTATTTCAACCGATGCCTTTAACTTCTCTACTCTGAATGTGAACCTTTGACATTGTGACTAGAATTTAAATGAAAGAAGAAAAAGGAGGCTTTCTTTAACGTTTGGACCTATTGCTGCATGTTGCATCACTACAAGTCCACCAGCAGAAACCATCTGAAGAGAATTTTGCCAGATGAACCATTAAAGGATGCTCAGTCTTCTTAATGTTGTCCTAAATATCACAGTTTGCCCTAAAGCTGTGCCTTCAGTGACTAACCAACAACGTCACCACCTCGAGGTATACTCAGCCAGAGGATAGCTCCAAAGTCTGTCTTACGTAAGTGGCGGGAATGCTTGCTGATGCCACAAAGATGGTGATAAAGAGGCACGGCACTGATCCAAGCATGCCCACGGCGCAGATGAGTGGATCAGCATTTGGCACCTTGTCTCTAAACCGTCTGGATAAACTAGTGCCGAGAGCCCCGCCCAGAATGCCCGTGGCCACCGTTACAGCACCAAAGATGTAACTGCACAGGAAGCAGAAGAGAGCACACAGTACGGTCAAAACTGCACCGATTCAGGCTGGAGCAAGTAAGCGACGTGGGGAAAAGGTCATGCTATACCTGTCCGAGGAGTCACCTGGTTTGTCGCTGAGTTTCTGATAGACACGAGCTCGGGACAAAAAGTTCGGCAGCCAGAAAGCCAGCGCCCCGGTGAGGAAGGCCAGGGCCGTCACTCCCAACGATGACCACACGTAACTTTTACTGAGGTCAGAGAACCAGGAAGACAAGATTGTTTAGAAGCAAACACCATTTGTTTGGGTTTTTTCACGCTTGCAAGGGCAAAATATAAATCGTACTTCTTCAGAAGATATTTGACATCCTCCAAGTAAGAGCTCTGCTCAGTCACACCCTCTCCGTGGGTTTCTGCAGCACCTCTCGGCGGGTTGGGGCACAAAACGATCATCAAAATGAGTCCCACTGCGCCCATGATGGGTGTGATCTGAGAACAGAGCCAAATAATCCAGCATCACTTTGAATCAAATCGCACTTCTGCATCGTGAATAAGAAAAATGTTCTCACCCTCAGAGCCCAGTGCCAGTCCCCCGTGAGAGATGCAAAGCCACGCCCTGTTATATACCCAAGACCGCTGCAAACACGCAATAGTGTGATCATGATGCACAAACAAGCTCATATCGCCATATGACATCTTAACAAGTGAGAGATTAAGACGGGCGATAACGTACGGAAACCTAAATCTAGAGTCACTGCTGTGTCACCACTCATTGCAACACCAGCTCTGCACACGAAACAACTGTGGTGAGGAGAAACCTACCAAACATCCACCCAACATTCAGCAACACTTTCAGTCGTGCAGCAGCGCAGCAGCAGCAGTGCATCATTTGAATGAAACTGTTAAAGCGTGCAAAAAGAAAAACACCTGTTTACCTTCCGACAGGGATAAAGATGTAGAAGATGCAGATCATGATGCTCCTTTTGCCCCCAGTAAAGAGATCACTTATGATGGTCGGAGCGACGGTGGAATAGCTGGCTTCTCCGGTCCCGACCAAGCCTCGCAGCAGGGCGAGAAGCCAGAATTGCTGCATAGACAAAAACATCAAAGACATTCAACATGTTGCATGGTTACATGCACGAGAGTCATCAGCACAATCAGTCTGCAGATAAGGTACAACAAACCTCTGATGCATTTTCAACACAAACATGGGGAAATGATCTCAGACCCCACTGAGTGTCACAGCTCCCACTCCCTGAAACTCCCTCTTAACTCTGCGTCTGTCAAAACTACAGCTGAATGTGATGGAGGAGTCTCTCCCCCTGTAGTTAAACCACTTCGAAGGATATCAAATGTGAATACACAAACAGACTGTTTTGTAGAAAAAGCTGCACTGATGCAAAAATGAATCGCTTGATGGGTTCCAGTGTGATCACAGAGCGCAGCGCGCCTCCTCACCAACATAGTTTGGTCACCTCAGACTAACTTAATAACTTATTGTGCCGTCCTCACTTTACTTCACTGAAACCTTTGATACCACAGACTATAAAATGCTGTCAAGCGCTGGGCTGGAATTTCCAGTGTTGAAATCAGAAACTCTGCGGAACCTGTGCAGACCAGCTTTGTGACTTTTCTTCTCAGACGTCTCGATCTGATGAAACCTCACCCGACAGCTTAACATGCTTCCTGTTAAATCCAGAATTGAATTCAAAATCCTGCTCCTCACATACAAGGTCTTAAATAATCAGGCCCCATCTTATCTTAATGACCTTGTAGTACCATATCACCCTATTAGAGCACTTCGCTCTCGCTCTGCAGGCCTACTTGTTGTTCCTAGAGTATTTAAAAGTAGAATGGGAGGCAGAGCCTTCAGTTTTCAGGCCCCTCTTCTGTGGAACCAGCTTCCAGTTTGGATTCAGGAGACAGACACTATCTCTACTTTCAAGATTAGGCTTCAAACTTTCCTTTTTGCTAAAGCATATAGTTAGGGCTGGACCAGGTGACCCTGAATCCTCCCTTAGTTATGCTGCAATAGACGTAGGCTGCCGGGGATTCCCATGATGCATTGAGTTTTTCCTTTCTCACTCACTATGTATTAACAGACCTCTCTGCATTGAATCATATCTGTTATTAACCTCTGTCTCTCTTCCACAGCATGTCTTTATCCCGTCTTCCTTCTCTCACCCCAACCGGTCGCAGCAGATGGCCCCGCCCCTCCCTGAGCCTGGTTCTGCCGGAGGTTACTTCCTGTTAAAAGGGAGTTTTTCCTTCCCACTGTTGCCAAAGTGCTGCTCATAGGGGGTCATATGATTGTTGGGTTTTTCTCTGTATCTATAAAGCGCCTTGAGGCGACTTTTGTTGTGATTTGGCGCTATATAAATAAAATTGAATTGAATTGAATTGAACATTTGTCAGCGTGGTTATGACACAGCTGTATGTTTCTATAGAGCCAGATGACAATAACGTTTTTTAAACCCAATGAAGACAAATTGTTCATTCTTTTAATTTAATAATTCAGATTGTCTGACGGGGTGCAGGTTAACCGTCTTGGACTTTCAGTTTCTGCCTCACAAGAGTGCGACTCAGCTGATGGAGTCTGGTAAGAAAACTACCCTGAACCACAAACACTGAGTCAAATGTTGAAATTCAGGAGCCTTTCCAACAGACGTGTGATGAATTAGAACAACGCAGGGAGCAAAGTGAACACGTAGCAATGCAAAGTTGTGTTACTTTGTTATTCCTTGTAAAATACTCCTCACTTACCGATTCATTGACAAAAGAGCTGGCGGTCGCAGTCAAAAGCCAGACACTCAAGCCGCCAATCATGATGTATTTGCGATTGTAGCGGTCGCCAAGGTAACCGAAGAGAGGGGCCAAAAGGAGAAAACTGCAGATGAAAACTGAAAATTGATGGAATCAATTATTCCTTTTCAATGACATCATTCGTTCACAGTAAACACACAACGATCAGTGAAAGCTCCAAACACAGCGCTGCTTAATTAGGTGCCAGATTGTATGTGCAGTTGACGACACATGGGTCATCGTACCTGTCTGCAGAAGTCCAGCGGTGCTGTCCTTTATATCAAAGAATTTTTGAATATCTGTAAGGACGCCTGTAAGGCCAGAAACACCATTCAGTGCAAGCCCTGCCCAACTGGAAGCAGTAAATAGTGTGTATCGACAAAGAAATCATCCAACCTGCTATTGTGTACCGCTCCATGTAGTTGAGCAAGTTGACGTAGCAAAGCACAAACATAGTGACATAGGCGCGCTTGGGCGATATGGCAGGTTTCTCCTCAGCATCGGGTGCGAGAGACGCCAGGCTGTTTGCAAAAGAGCCATAAGGTAGACTGCAGCTGGAACGCAGGCTCCATCGGCGTACTGGGATGTCCTTGAAGGATGTGACTGATGCCCGTGGCTCCATAGCTAGCTGCTCTCCCTTCAGCTGAATGAGATGACCTAATGTTAAAACTCGTGCACAGATGCTCCACAGAGCTCGACAATGACAATATAGTGCAGACACACAGTCCTGCTTTCATTAAGTCGCTGTCTTCAGGTTCAAGCGATGCAGCTTTTAGCAAATTTGATTCATGCGAGCTGTAGAAAGACTTTAGAAACAGCCCTTATGACAGAAAGTAATTACACAACCAAGAAGATATTTTTGCAACAGTGTCAAAATAACAGAGAAAGGAGAAGAAGGTTGTTCTCTAAATGCAGCTTATTTTCCAGTTCTTAAAAACGCGACAGAAAGGTTAAAGCATCTTTTAATTATAGCAAGTTTATGCATATGTAGAAAATAGACACAGCGAGTCGGAGCGTATAAAAATGTAACCTTGGCGTCTGCAACAGTGCGCCTCAGATATTTCAGCCCAACCAGGGTGAGGGACAACACTAAGAGCCTTGTTTATGAACTCTTCTGTCCCAAAACAACACAGTGCAGCACAGCTGTAATCTTACAATGCAGCTGTGTTCCCATCATACGGGTATTTAAAACCATGCAAAATGTGAATTACAGGTGACTCACCGACTTGCTGATGTTTGGTTTTACTTTAAATCCTCTTATCTCATTCCTACAGATGTGCAGCTGCGAGAGAACAATGTGACTCTGAATGGCTCTGAGGCATGAAGACGCTAACAGGGACCTCAGTTTTGGGACGACTCGAGTTATATTAAGTTAGCGACAGGGCCAGCCCACTGAGGGTTGGTCATGCAGGGTTTCACACATATCTGTCTTAGTGAAGCAATGGCACAGACCAGCCAGACGTCATGGACATTTTCCACTTTGTGTTTCTTTTTTAAGAAACTTCGCACAAAATAAAGCAATAAATGTACTCGTTTGACTTTTTACTAGTCTGATTCACCGTCCACAGCCTTACACTCACATGACAGCAAGGCAAACGGATCAGTTAAGTTAGTAGCTAAACTATACGTGTGCAACCTGCCATCGAATTTCAGGAGAGATTAAAAGGTGGTCCTGCTCTGCTCTGGAAACACCTGCCTTATCAAACCTGTACATTTCATCTGTTATCTCAGGACTGAGAGGTTATTTCTGACAGAAAGAAAACACTCGCTTTAGTTTCAGTTTCCAGTGACTCATCAAAACCACTGCTCTACAAACTACTGTTCACTTTGACACTGGGGTCATGTACATGTAAAAAAGAAAGAAAGAATATTATAATAATAATAAAAATAATAATATGAGCCATTAAAAACCTTTAACCCTTTCATGAATGACGACGACCTCAACCTGGATTTTTTCTGAAGTATTTTTATTATAAATAAATAAACACGATTGTATTTATGTAGCACCTTTCTAGACAGAATCACAAAGTGCTGCACATAAGATAACAAATAATAAAAAGGTAAAACAGACAATATAAAACACGCAAACATTTAACCAAAAACAGTTTTAAAAAGGTGAGTTTTGAGGGGTTTTTTTAAAAAACAAAACCGAGTCCACAGTTCTTAATGTATGAGGGAGAGAGTTCATCATCTTCATCATCTTTATGCATTTAGGTGGACACTGATGTGTATGTAGAGGTTTATGTGCAAGTATACCATCAACACTGACACAAATACACAAAAACAGCCTTTGAACAGCTGTAACTGTAGTGACCACTATGCATGAAAGGGTTCAAGTATGTAAAACCTTTTTCTTTCTTTCATCTGAGGTTAAGACAAATAAGACGATGCCTTTGGCAGCAATAGGATGCCTGAAAGGCTCTAAAACACCAGGCTTACTGACAGGAAACTGGACCAGTCATGCTGAATGTGAAGGTCTACATTTAACTGCGGAGTCACCAAAGCATCCGTTTGCTTTCAAATCTCATTAGATCAAGTACAGCATGTGTCACATATGTGGTCCCCTCTGCTTGGAAGTGCTGACTCTTATCTAGAAATCAACTTCCTGCCTCGCTCTTCAGATCAGTGAGAAATGGCTGCAAGTCAGTCAGTGTGTCAGAGCTTTCTTCACCTTTTCTTAAGATCAGAAAATATGTCCACTAACAATATGCAGTAAAACATGAGAACATCTTACTGCTTTGCTTATCTTAATGTCTTAAAATTATTTATTTATAAAATAAAATGCCATTTAAATCTACTGTTTCCACCTTTTATTTGAAAAGTGTTTATCAACAAGAAAATCAGAAATTGATATCAAGCTATGTTGAAGCCTGATGCAAAATTCCTGCAGTATTTTTATATTGATTGAAGGTTTGTCAGAAGGAATAGATTCACTGTAGTTTCAGCATTCTGTTGCCTTTATTTCATTTCTACATACCAGACATTCATTAACCTAATTTCAAATTTTATTTTTCACATTTTTCACAGTAAAATTATGTCTCAGTAAAAAGCCCTCACTATGTACCTCTGGCACTTTTAAAGTATCTATCTACATGTATAATGTAACATAATGTATAATGCACAGGAGGTGCAAGGGTAAAAGGTAAACCCTGGAAGCAATTGAGAGAAATGTGAAAATGAAATACGATCATTTCAATAGTGCACGAAAAATAAAATCACGCCAACAACAACAATAAGAAGAAGAATATTCTATTTCAGAAGAAATTTTAAGTGTGCCTATGCCGCTGCTAATCAGTGTAGTTTGCCATTCATACGGCTACAGAGAGCAAAACTCAGCAGGGCAGCCATTCTCCACCATATGGTAAAACCAAACACCGCTCGCGCCTCACAGATCCCAGCTTACAGTTTTGTGTAAAGATGAGGTGACTTCGTACAGCCCCGATTTGCAGACGCTGTGCGCAGAGGTTCATGAGCAGAAGTCCCGTTGTACCACGGCAGACCCAACAATGTTTGCATGAACACGCTTTGTAGCATTACGTTATTGACCACTTTTCACACATGGTTGGTGTACCCACACAGCCGGCTGTAGCTTTTCAACTCACAGCCCGACACACACCAAAACAACAGCCGAGAGAGCACGGACTTTACGCCTGAGAGGCGTGATTGCAGATGCCGCTCAGGTGGGTCCGCCTCCCCTGCAGCGGCACTGCAGACCACGCCCCGCCACACACATCAAACACGTAAAATAAATATTTGTGCACTTTTGCATTCACTTTTTGTTACTTTTACACAGTGTTCTGAATGATTAACAATGGTCTACAGCCAATCCTGTGTATTATTATACAAACTTTGGTTGTAAGATTCAGATAACTATTTAATAAAAGCTAAATATTTTATATGAGAGTAAGAAAGAAAAGTATTTCTTTGTGCCCCCCTCTCCGTGTTAATGCCCTACCTGGGCCCCCTGGCAACACTTTGCTAGACCCGCCCCTGCACAGTTACCAGCTGTCAGCTACACAGAAAAGGATCCTGGTGTTATTTGTCTCTCAGAAACAGTTCATAACTTCAACTCATTCATGTCACCTAAAAGGTAAACCTGTTTCTCCATCACAGCTCTGATGATTCAGTAAGGACATCTCCTGGTTTCGACCAGCAGCTTTACAGCTGTGGCTCCATCAAACATCAGCTGATACTAGAAATTAAAATCAAAGGAATTCTAACAGCAGCTGATCGAGCTTAAACGTGCTGCTGTTGTTTATGGCGACATCTGCTGGTTTCCCGTTCTGGCGCAAAGTGGGTGATAAACAAACACCAGAGAACAGCCATCAGCTGATCATTGATCAGTTTCATGACTGAAGTTGCAACAGGCGAGAGAATGACAGGGGAAGAGTCCGCTGTGCAGGTAACCACAGAGTAACTCCAGCTTTGTGTCTGTTTCCATTGTAGCTGAAGTCCGGGACAAACTGTTCCTTTTCAGCTCAACAGGAAACACGTAATATTTTCTCTGAATGCGGGACGATTCTGTTTGCACAGGACGGTTGGAAACTAACCTTATGAATACAATAAAGTTCACCATCAGTAACACAGCAGGCACCAGCTGTATAGAAAGTCTGTCATGCTAGCTAGCACGCAGTACGACTTATTGTAACTGATTGTAAAATGTCAGCAGCATCTGGACAACCCACCACCTTTCACTGTTTATACCGTTACTAAAACGAATAAATGAATAATCAGCCCATATAAATGAAAAATAAGTCTAGCTGAGACACCGAGTCTTTGCATTCCGTTTGCACGGGATGGTTGGCAACTCTACTAACTAACCTTAAGAATACAATGAAACCAGCGTGACTCGACTAGAAACAAGCATACGCCCTTGCGATTACCATAACTATTCAATGGTTCGCGCAACCTTAAAAATTTCAACGGTTCCTGAAAGCTGTGAGGCTGTGCGCGTCATTGATATTGTCGTCATTACGGTAATACAAATAAGGGTAGACAAGGCCATACCACTGCCAATATACCACTAGAGAGAGCCAACACACCACAAATGAATCTTTCCCATTCATTTCAATGGGCAAAGATTTGCATTAAATATTAATATGTCTCAAAACTGTGGGGTGAGTTACGCTGTAAAATTTCAGGCGGAAACTGAGGAATAATAATAAGAAGAAGAAGAATAAATCTGAGGAATAGTAATAAGTGTGCCTCTTGGCCACGGTTGGGAAGGTTACTTTTAAAATGTATTCCATTACAGAATACAGATTACATGCCCCAAAATGTATTCTGTAACGTATTCCGTTACGTTACTCAATGACAGTAACGTATTCTGAATACTTTGGATTACTTAATATATTGTCATGCTTTTTACAACAACGTGAATGTACTATGGCTGTGATTTATTACTGTTAGTGAAGGTCCACGGCTCTGAACTGTAGTAAAGGGACCTCTGGCTAATACGGCGGGGTCCCTGTCGGCTCGTAGCCGAAAAATAGCTTTACTTTGTTGTGTGGGTCAACTTTGCTAGCAGAGACAGAGAGAGGCGTTGAAAGGCTGCTCCAACGGAACTTATTGTTTTCGGAGGAAAACACGAACACGGTGTACAGTCGAGTCTTAATAGCTTACTTACAACTGGGCTCGTCAGGCACTCTTCTTGGCTGCAGTGGTTATTATTATATTTACATGCTTCCAGCTCCCGTTTTTGCTCGATGACAACTCGTACCTTTCCACTCCCCTTTTTCTCCCTCCTCGCGCTCACAGACCCATAACGTGTATGGCAGTCCATTCTCCCTGCAACACGGACTACACTACCCATGATGCTACATTCTTTAGAGCTATGCCTGTAGCATTCTGCCTGTTAGCTTAGCACAACAACAACAACAACGAAAAGGCCTCTCTCACCCAGGAAACACACAGTCGCAGAGAGAGAGAGAGAGCGTCGCAGCTGTCAAACAAAACCCAAACAGTCCTGACCCGCGACAAAATGAAACAGGAAAGTACCCCGGTGTAATCCATTTATTTCAACAAAGTAACTGTATTCTGAATACCACCTTTTTAAACGGTAACTGTAACGGAATACAGTTACTCATATTTTGTATTTTAAATACGTAACGGCGGTACATGTATTCTGTTACTCCCCAACACTGCTCTTGGCATAGGCACACTTAATAATATGAGCACTGCAAGTAAAACCCTATCCACAAGGTGGGAGTAATGCATCACTGAGGACGCGAAGTTCCCCCAAACAAATCAACGAAGAAGAAACGATAGCGGCAGGGGAAGGCGGCGAAGAAGAATAATGACGGGAATGCTAAACGGAAAATAGAAGGAACAGAGTCCTGTTAAGTGAACATTAAATTAACGCTGTTACCGTGAAATATTAACATCGAACATAGCTGCATTACATTGGTTGAAGTATGACAGAGCCTCAGTCAGCGCTGTTACTCCGGAGACAGCTTGCAGGTAATTAAACCGTCATGTTAACTGATGCTGGGTGCCGAGCTAACGACAGCGGTGCCGCGGCTTTGATTGAAACCGTGGTGCTGGCGCAAACTGTTTTCTTGAACATTCTGCATTAACGTTAAGATCCGAATGACAAAAGAACTGCCTGGGGATTACAACAGTGGGAGCAAACAAACACCCCCCTCGTTTAGTAAATGAAAGTCTTCAGTGTTTCAGGAGACCAAGTGATTTGTCTGTGTGCCTTTCGACACTGCGTCCTGTTTGCAGATGAAAGCCGCTGTCAGAAGTCCCAGCGACTTTCTATTACGAGGCTAGCTCAAATCACTGAGCCTAATGTTAGCCTGTAGCTGGCTCGACTGACTTAATGTGTTTACATGTATTTTTAACCGAGGAGCCAAGTAGTGTTTCTCGTTTTTTAACATGACGTTTAGCAGTTACGTGATCAGTGTGATATTAGTGGACATTTTTACGCATAAATGTAAGTACAGTTTCAGTAGTTAGAACATGTCCCTACCACTCACCGCAGAATTAACGTGTTTAACCAGCTAGCTAACTGTAGGCTAACGCTAGCCGCTGTCACTGTTGTTAGCGTCAACGCGCTAAGCTAACGTTAATCTCGCATTACCTCAATTCGCTCTTTTAGCAGGGTCAGCTGCGAATTATATTTAGCTACTCTAAAATTAGCGACATTTCAAAAGTAGCTGCGTCGAACAGGCGCTGTATAATGTTTTAGGTTTGTAGCACTGATGACGTGTTTCAGGTTTTGTTTAAAATGAAAATTTCGCATGGAGACTGCAAGGGTCACTGGGTCCACCTTTATACTTGTCCCCACATTCTGCCCTTCAAGGTGACCGGTAATTGACCTAAACCTCCATATTTTGGAGCAAGGGTTGTAGATTAATTCAGGAAATTAAAGCTCCACGGATTTCGTGTCGCAGGGCTATTGCATTGATAAAAAGGCTGCCTTTCTTTGTTGTACATTCATACGATCTGCAGTCTACAATTAATGCTTGTGATTCTTATAAGCCTTGAAATAATGATCAGTAAGCATCAGACTTCACCGAGCCAGCTCCTTTGAAATGTTTCTGTTTGGCCTATCAAGAAAAACAAATTCTTCCATCATGTTATGTAAAAGGTTAAACTGTTTTATCAAACGGCTGCTCGATCGATAATCCCAAAGTCCACTTAATGTATTATGATGTAAAAAATCGACATTTAGTCCGACTCATGAGCACAGATTTACAGTTGTTTAAAATGTTGTTTACAGTGAGCGCTGCCATTCTTGATGCAATGTTGGGTGTTCATGGCGAATTGGTAACATAGGTGGGAACTGCTAAGTAGTTTGAGCAATATGCTCATTCTCACTCAAGCCCCTCTGAGTGTCATGTTGTCACCTCAGCCACCTGAAGAACAGTGTAATGCACGTAGGTTATGTAGTGGAGGTAGTGTGCTGTATGTCATAGTGAATGACTTTGATTTTTTTATATTCAGAGCTGAACAAAAACCCAGTGGAGGGATTCTCAGCAGGCCTGATCGAGGATAGTGATCTCTACAGATGGGAAGTCCTTATCATTGGGCCTCCAGACACCCTGTAGTGAGTCTCCCTGTCTTGTGTATGGGTTGAGATGAGTTTTGGCCTGTGTGGATTTGTTTTTAAACTTTGGTACCTATCATGCTGATTTTTTTTCATCTTTCCCCCTCCCCCCACAGTGAAGGTGGTGTGTTTAAAGCTCATCTGACCTTTCCCAAAGACTACCCTCTCAGGCCACCTAAAATGAAATTTATCACAGATATTTGGCACCCTAACGGTAGGTACCGGTGAAACATACTATCAGTGTTATTATAAATGTTTTTAAGCTTACGAAATGAAGGCTGTATGATCTTTGTGTTAATGTTACATGTTATTAGTTTTATTGTGACTCTACTGTTGATTCAAATTATTTTGCCATCTTTACTACATGGTGTTTTATCCTGATGGAGGTAAAAGCCTCTTTTTCAAAAGTGGCAGCAAAGACTGTAAACACACGCAGAGACATAAAGGCCACTGATGCACAGCACGAGCACGTAAACAGCAACCAGATAAAATTCAGTAAAATCAAGAACCAGTGCGACCTCAGCAGTAATCCCACTGACTATGGGAACTATTTTCTCAGACCTTTAAAATAAGGTCTAAGGAAAATAAGGACTAACCAGTGGGAAAGTTTGTGGACACACACATTTGGCCACTTAGCAGGAGCAGGCAGTGAAAAGCAACGTACACACTTTCCAATGAGAGCATTTTCTACTTCACAAAATATTAGTAATCTTTCTTTCTTCATCTCCAGTTGACAAAAACGGCGATGTATGTATTTCTATTTTACACGAGCCTGGGGAGGACAAATATGGCTACGAGAAACCAGAGGAGCGCTGGCTGCCAATCCACACTGTGGAAACCATCATGATTAGTGTTATCTCTATGCTGGCAGACCCAAACGGTGACTCGCCAGCCAATGTGGATGCTGCAGTAAGTCTGACTGTGTAAAGATCTTTTGCATGTGTCCTTTTATTCAATCCAAACATTTCTATAAAAGTCCAGTCGTGAGTGAATCATTCTGATTTTAACATTTTGTGTAAACGTCCCCCTGCAGAAAGAATGGCGGGAGGACAGACACGGCGCATTCAAAAGGAAAGTTGCCCGTTGTGTACGAAAAAGCCAAGAGACTGCGTTTGAGTGATGCTCAGCACGGCTCTAGCTTCATGTTTTCAGGGTAAGGATTGTTCAGTCATCCCTAAACTTAATCTGGAGAGCACCACCACAGATTCTCCATTAAGACAATTCAGTTGGCTCAAAACAAAAACGTTTATAGTAATATACTGGTAAACAAATTCACAACTGTGAAAGATTTAGGATAAATATTAGCAGCACTCCTAGTTTTGTCTGCTTACACTTGATGAAAGCGTTAAAAAACCCCAAATGAATAAATAAATGGCGTGCTGTGCTAAAGTCTTGAGGCGCCAACAGTTTGCTTCCAATGAACCAGACAAATTTGAATCCAAATGATAAATTGGTGGTTCAACGTTTCCGTGTGTACAGAGGAGGCCAGGACAGACGCACGGCTCTGAATGTCTGTGCCGTGCTTAGATAAACAACGTGGTTGCATGTCAGCTCACGATGTTGACGAGCCTATCAAAACTGAAGCATGAACACAGAAGTAGAATAGAACAGAATAATCCTTTAATTGTCCCACAAGGGGAAATTTGGTTGTAACAGCAGCCAAAAAGACACATATACAAACAAACAGGACACGGAACAGAAACATACACAATCTTTCTTACAGATTTACATTAAGGACAATGGTTACTATAAACAGAGTACTGTACAGTTATTAAATAAAATAAAAATAACTACAGGTAAGAGGCAAAGTACTGGCAGACTTTGCTCCGCCATGCAGCACCATGTGCAAAGTGTCTGACTGGCAGCAGCTTAATGTTTCAGGGTGGCAGTGACGTCTAAAACACAGGCGACACAGTGTGTGGCTAGAAAAACACACAGTCCAACTGATCTTGACAGAATGAAACGAAAGGCAGTGAACATCCAAAGAAGAGCTGCTGTTTGTAGCAGCCTGGAGAACTGCTGCTGACGGCCGCTTAGACAAAGCTTCACATTTGAAGAGATTTCAGGCTGTGTTAAAGAGCAAAGGATGAGTTCATTAAAATTGCTCAGTCGCCTTTTTTGCCTGATGTATCCCATGTATGTTGGCACATGGTCCAATAACTCACTACACCTGTTTGCCATTTTCCTCGCCAAATCTAAAGAAATGAAGGCGAGCTTTGAGACTGTTGCACAGTACTGAGCATGTCGCCTGTCGTCGACTCGTGGTCCTAACTTGTGTTTTTTCCGGCCATTTGTTGTTTCCCGCAGGTCTCCAATTGAAAATCAACACGGCACTGTTTCCTGCACTCTTCCACCCTGTCGCCAGGCTTGTCCTCCTTTATTTTGGCAGGAACAGACTGGCTACTGTAGGCTGCAATAGAAACATAACAAGGACTACCAAGGCTGACGGAAAATCGCCAAGCAAGTGCCAACTGAAAAAAGAAAACAAGAAAAAAACCCAGAAGATGATAAAAGATTTTTCAAGGCTATGAACTGCTTCAACATTCAGGAAGATATTGTAAAGACATGTATATAGCACAGACTAAACCGGATAATATATACGCTCCCTTTCCATCCATCCAGACATTTAGACCAAATGAAATAGCGCGGGTTCATTTCTTTTTGTCCATTTTCCTTCTCTCAGCCCCGGCATGGACTAGTTCTCTTTAGATTGTTTTCATAGGAGCCGTTAACACGGATGCGTTTGGAGGAATGTCACCTGTGAAGAGCTTGTTCAGTCCCAGCAAGACGTGAATGATGTGACTAAGGAATACACAGCTGTCCTCTGGGTCCTTTATTGCTCAGCATCACAGGCAGCTGAATGATTTTCTCTCTATATTCAGTCTTACACCCCCTCTTTTTTTTTGTGCATGCTAAATTTTGTTGGTCTTTTCTTTTCAAAAGTGCCTCCCAATAAAAAGCTCGGCCACTTCATCCTGCGTTGATTAAGTCTTAAAAATGTCAAAAAACCAGGCAAATATAGAAACTACCACCTGTAGTATGACTGGGACTGTATACAGCGACTGTATAATTCGGTAACAATTTGGTGTAGCAATAACCCCCCTAGTTTGGAGTGTACACATTCATTGTTGATACCCTGATAAAAACGCGTCATCCTCCTCAGATATTGTTTTATTTTTTAGCAGCGCCTCTCTCCATCGTCTGTATCGTCCTCGGTAGGAATTGTTATGCATGCTTTGTTTTATGGTTTTGTTGGTTTTCTGCTGAATGTTTCTGGGATTTTGTTTGTGTGCTTGTGTGTACAGCGTGTACGCCGGTTTTGTTTTGTCGCTCTTTCCTCTCAAAGATTCAAATTCATCATTACTCTGCTCACTATTGCAGTTTTGCCTAATGTATAAAGACAAAATACTGATGTATATTTTTCATGTTATGAAACTTGTCACCTGTAGTGAGTTCTTCTAAAACATGACTTTTTTTCAATATTTATCTGCGTTCTTGAGCTTTGCTTGCTCCAGTGTTCACCTGTTTTCACAGCGGCCTGGAATATTAAACAGTATCCACCAACGATTGCAAACATTTGGACAGATGAGAACTAAATTTCCTGAGATCAGGTCAGTCTTCAGATATTTTTGGACAATATTTCTTAAATATTAGATTTGGGGGATTTGAGTTGTTTTGCAGCCAAAACTACAAAACGATTGGAGCAGTTAAACCGTACACCAAATGGACCCAGTGCAGCAAAGCGCAGGAAACACTTGATCATTTCAGCGTGCTGGCGTTTCAGGCTCCGCGACAATAGCGGGAGCTCCCAGTTTAGCGTACCCTGTGCTGTTCTCTTCACAGGTGAGAGCAGGTCTACACTGAGTGACAGGTGGGACGAGTCTGGTGACTCTTTGAATGTTAAGCTTCCTGCATCATCATCCTCCGACCAGTTTGACAGTGGGTCAATAATGGTCTGGCGAGCCATTTTCATGAGCGGTTCCACAAACGTGTTAACAGCATGAGTGTTCAAATCTGTTTCCTTGTCAGATATGATGGTGCAGTGGGTGAGTGGGTTCGTCCTGGTGCACCACAGCTTCACTGAGGACGACGAGGGCACTGATTCCATCGACTAGCCGTCCCATTCCTCAGACCTGCACCACAGACTGCCCAATAGCTCACTGATGCCTTGTTCCAGGTTTGGGAGTACAACCCTCAAGACGACATCCACTGTGGGATTGCCAGGAGTGTATTTCCATGTGGGGACTATAGACATGGCTGAGCCACATCAGCCTGCTTAAAGTTTCATTTTTGGTGTGATTTTGTTCTCTGCCAGTGACATGCTGCCTATTTTGTTCCAAATCTGATGCCTTCTGTAAGTGTTCCAGTATTTTTATTCAGCACTATGTTTTAGCAAAGTGTGTCTCAAACAGGACGTCTCTGAGTTGTAAAATTATCACACAATTTGAATTCTGTGATTTTCTCCCTGTCTGATGCGTCTCTGCCAGCTACAGCTCGATGCTCGCTGTTATGTTGGCAACGCGATAGGTCAGGAAAGCTTGAGGGAAGTTTCACCGGACATGTTCACCTGGAATCACCGGTGAACTGATTAGAGCTTGTTAGTCATGGATCACGATCAATGCGACCTTTGCCTGTGACTATAAAAACTCACCTGGCAATCAGGAGGAAATTTAAAGCAAGAGTCTAACTGCACAAACATTAAGTTAAAGAAACTTGATTTCTTCTTATTGAACCATTTGCAATTAAAATAAGTTATATTTAGCATTTCAAAATAGAGCTAATGTTAGCTGAGCTGTGTTAAAGCAGGGCTGTCAGACTAAAACCTGAGCACAGACTGCATCACTGCTCAACAGATCAGGGTTAGCCAGCAAATTCTAGTTTAAAAAAAGAGACTCATTTTATTCATAAAATATCTGCTTTAGTCAGCCCTGCAGATCTGTGCTAATCCTGCTGCAAGTTTGGTGACGTTTGAGATTAGATTAGAGATGAGATAAAACTTTATTAATCCCTCGGGTGGATTCCTCCGGGAAATTGGGTTTCCAGTAGCACAGCACCAACAGAAGTCACAGAATGTGAGCAGAACTATGACATATACACACATATATATAAATCCAGAGTATACAAAGGGAGAAATGGAATGAATAAGAATACAAGGAAATTGCATATTTCAAGTATTGTGAGTCTGTTGCACCGTTGGATATTAACAAAAGTATTGCACAGTGAAAAGGCACCTCAGCTTAGTTGTTCCCCCTCCTTTGTCCTGTCTCCCCTCCCTCTCCCCTCCAGAGAGGAGTTAAACAGTCTGATGGCGTGTGGGACAAAGGAGTTTTAAGTCTGTTGGTTCTTTTCTTTGGGAGAAGCAACCTGTCACTGAACAGACTCCTCTGGTTGTTTATGGCCGTGTGCAGAGTTTGGGCTGTATCGGACTCACCATCAGGTCCGGTGTCCTGGCCTGTGTGTTGTTGACAGCATACTAGCCGAGCTCTTTTTCTCCAAACATTTCTTGAATATTTTGGTGCTGTGCTTTGGGTCATTGTCAAGTTGTCGTAGGAACCCAGCAAACATGCTCCCTTGTCCACGTGAAGGCAGTGTTAGCAGCACCGTGGAGGGCAGGCTGGCTCCAGTGCATTGCCCACAGAAGACTCACGCGGCCCGTGTGGTCTAACCCACAGGGGTGGCATCGAGGGTTTTCTGTGGGCAAACCCACTATGGCTTCCCACAGAAATGGACCTAAAAGGCAAAACTGCTACGAGCCCCATGTGAGCCTACATGGGGTTCATGTGTTTTGGGGGGAGCTCATGGTGGGGGGGTCCACAGATGTTCCAACTCAGTGTCCCAGTGAACACACTGGATCACTGTTGCTGTCCTGTTAATATTATTTGTGATTCCATAAATCAATCATTGTTGCTAATATATTTCTGATTGAGTAATCTGAATTTAATTAAATACTGCTTTGCTTTCCCCTCTAAGAACAAGTCTACTCATAATTGCAGTCATTTGAGTGCTAATGTATCAACACACCTTTGTTTTTGATAGTTCTAATAAAAAGAATACAGTAGCTTTCATAAATTAAATATTAGTACAGCTTTGAATCACTCTGTTGGGTTTGTCCTTAGTGTTTGCAGCATATTACAAAACTTACAGGCGTGCGTCTCCCTGTCAGGTGGCAATGATCACTGCGGCTTCACTACGGCTGGGAGTTGATTCCATCAAACTGTCATTAGAGTGTTAACTGAACCACACCGTGCACCATTGCAAAAGCGTCTGCATTAGTTGTGTTTGTGCAGTCCGTTGTTACCGTCTTTCCCTATAAATGTACTGGCAACGTAGTGTGAATGAAAAGCACTTAACGGAGTTGGCACCGGTTTTACATGGATGCTGGCCTGCAGGAGGGCTAGCAACGGTCATGTGATCGAGTCTTTTCTGTTAATCACTTGAACGCAGCACCACCGCCTGCTACGAGCCGCTTCATCATATCGCGATAGACACCGCCAGGCCACGGCGCTACCGTTGAGCAACATGGCGGAAGGTATGTGACTGATTTTTGGGGCAGTTTGACACACGCCCTTTTATCCGCGTGCGCTTGTTTAACTATATCACCGACTCAACTAATGTGTTAGCGGTGAAGGAAACCGAGCGTAGTCTGTGGGTGGAACTGCGAAGCGTCGCGACACTTATTGTCACGCTGTTCTTTCCACTGAGAAGCTCTGTCGTTAGCTCTCGCTTATATTGCTAGCTGAACTGTATCGCTACGAGTTAGCTTAACCAGGCAAGAAAGGCACGTTTCGAAGGAGCGTGCTGGTTCGCTAGGTCCCAGGAGGTGAATATCATCTTCAGTAATGTGCAGGTGTTGCTGGTAAAGATTAAGTGTTAGCTTCATGAGTCTAATCAGACTGTCCAGCGTTGCTTTATCTGACCGTGGTCAGAGGTTTAACTGCTATGGTAAAGTTTTTCTTTTATTTATTAACACATCTTGTTATCAGTCGTAGTAAATGGAGAATAAATGCAGGACAGGAGACTTGACAGGACAGGTTAAATGTCACTCCGTGTCAGGTGGTGTCATCCGGACCACCTGACAGGCAGGTGTTTGGCCTAAACACAGGATGGTTTGCTCTGTGCTTGTCCTTAAGGGAGATCTCCTGAACCCAGGGAGCAAATACACCCGTCTGTGGTTAGTAGGAGAGAGGATATACGTGCTTATTTAAAACTGCTCTGTGTTCTGGTCGGTGATACAGTTCGAGAGCATTTTTTGTATGTACTAACATTTTAAGATTTTGGATCATTGCCACATCAGGTCTGCAAGTGATTCTGACCACAGGTCCTGACAAACAGACTTTCCTGATGCCTCAGACTTCTTTGTCTTAAAGCTTTAAAAAATGATTGAAAACTGTGAGCCTGGAGAGGAAGACTTTCCTGATGCCTGCTAGACTGTTCTTATTTTGGGTCAGTGTTTTCTCACTTCTCAGTTGGTCCTCAGCAGCAGGGTTACGGTTGGCAGCATACCACCCTTCCTGTGCTGAGCTGGTCATGTGGTTTTCAGCACCTCCCCCTTTCTGTTCCTCATGACCAGTAGCCTTCCCTGCGACGGTTTACAAGGGAGGACAAAGTAACGAGCTACCTCAGCATGTTTTTCTTCACTAAAACTTTACTGACTTAAAGGAAGGAAATGGGCCTGTGTGAAACTCTGTGGGTTAATATTGTAACATGATGATGTGTAGAAAGTGCGTTTGACTTCAAGCATAGCCTCGAAGTTTGGCCAAACAAAATTACTGTCATTAGATTTTCCTTTAGCTGATTTATAAGACTTGACAGCATGGTCTCTGCCTTGTGAAGGGATTTTAAAATGTCTGCAAATTGGCTTGTTTCTTAACACACACACACACACACACACACACACACAGAAACCAGCGTTATGAAAGTAGTCAGTGCTCAAGCGATGTTTCTTAAGCTTTTAATACTACATGCAGTCAACACTGCTATAATAATTATCTTTAAACACTGGTGATGTTATCTGCAAACTGCCAACAAAGCTTGTAACCTTAACCCCAAATAATATCTTCTTTCGGTGTGTGCTTTGGACCACCCTGCTTGTTTGTAGGTGAAAGTTTGCTCGCATCATGGAGCTCAGTTCTAACCTGTGATTAAAGTAGGTTTTTCTAGCTCACGTTCCCTCGCCCTGCCTCTTCCTTTTGCTTCATGTGCAACAGAGGAGGTGGCCAAGCTGCAGAAGCACCTGGCCCTGCTCAGGCAGGAGTATGTGAAGATGCAGCAGAAGCTGGCTGATACAGAGAGGCGCTGCGCCATGCTTGCCGCTCAGTCTTCTAGTCAGGGCACTCCCACCCCTGCAGCCGCGGAGACCTTCATCAGCCGTCTGCTGGACATTGTGGCCGACCTCTATCAGCAGGAACAGTACAGGTGAGGGTCATTATAGGGACGCGGGTCTGTGGGTCATCTTTTGAGTGCTGTCTGTTTATAAATGGCTTTGAGTAAGACTAGAAAAGTGTAAGTGCCAGACAATTTGTGGTTCCTAGTTAGTTTGTGCCTTATTAAAGTATTAATGTTTA